CAAATGAGCTGGGTACTTCCTAAAGGTGGCACTAGACAGAGAAATGTTGCTGTTATGAAGTTCTTAAGTTTCAATTCGCTGCTATAGCCAGAAATAAAAAAAATAAAAAATTGTCATTCTTTAATGGGCGATTTGGCAGGCTAATGTTTGCAGGGTTATTTTTGAAAATTATCATTGTAGGTACTAAAAAGGGTTGAGTATTTCATCATTAGTGCAGTGGACAGTGGAAATGCGTTTTTATAAATGCGAAAAACTTCATTTCACTGCCATCGCCAGGAAATCGTAGAAAAGTTTAAAAAACTAGTCAATATTCAACAGGCGTTTTGGTTGAGTTTGTTTTAAAAATTCGTATTTTAGATTCCAATCGAGCTGCGCACTTCTAGTAGCTCCTATTATATAGACGAAAGTCGCTTTTATGATTGCCAAAAGTTTCAATTTAGTGCCATAGTCAGGAGTGTCTAAAGAATTTTTCCAAACTAGTCCATTTTGAACGGGCGTTTTGGCAGAGTTCTGTTTGAAAATGCACAACGCAGGTACCAATTGAGATGACTACTCGGTGATTATTGAATTAGGCAGTAGACAGCCTCTTTTACAAATTAGGAAAGTATCAATGTGCGTCCGTCTTTAAGGAATTTTTCAAATCTGGTCAATTTTTAACGAGCGTTTTTGCAGGGTTATGTTTGAAAATGAACATTGCAGGGACCAATCGAGTTGGGTACTTCTCGAAGACTGTACTGGATAGAGAAAAACCGGTCTTATCAATGCTGCAAGTTTGGATTTGCTACCGTCATCAGGAACTTTTTGGGAATTTTTCGAATATGGTCAATTTTTAACAGACATTTTGGCAGCCTTGCATTTGAAATTTGATATTCACGGCACCAATGGTACTTCCGGAAGATTCTAGTAGATAGCAAAAAGTATTTTGAATAAATGCTGAAATATTCCAGATGCCTTCCGAAAGTTTCGATTTCCGTACGCCATCAGATATTTTTCCACAATTTTTATAAAAACTGCTCATTTTTGAGCGGCCGTTTTGGTCAGCTTGTGTTTGAAAATTCATATTCCCCGCAGCAATCGCGCTGGGTTCTTCCAGAAGGTCGCATTGGATAGAGGAAAGTCCCTTTGGCGAATGCCGAAAGTTCCAATTTGCTACCGTCAGCAGGAATGTTCGAGGAAATTTTCAAAACTGGTCGACGATTTCTTTTAAATTTCGAACGTTTCTACGCCCACAAAGAACTCATCCTGCACACTCATCGGATGTTCTTCAGCCATCAATCAACCCACCTTCAACACCTGATTGGATATCGGGCACAATTCGATGGCAATGTTTTGGCTTTTGACCATTTTCATCAATTTGGGATGCTTCGGCAATGCGAACCCATGCCCAATCCTTGTCGAGTTCAGTAAAATCGCATCCACTAGATTCAGATCAGTACCGCCAAATTCGTCCGTCTCCCCAGCATGGAGGAAAAACTTCAGATGATTGATAACTCCCAATAACTCCTCGTGGAACTCCACCAGGCACTTGCCATTCTCCTCCAAACCCACAAAGTCCAAGCCTGAATGAACGAAGCAACCGTATTTATGCATGCAAGAAACTCCATAGGTACTACCCTGCAATAAAATCGGGATACGATTTCTTGTAGCTGATCAACTGATCGAGGCCGGCTTGGAAGGCTTCATTCGACATCCCGCGGAAGAAGTTGTGAATGTATTTTACGCCAAGGAAATCTGGATGCAGCTGCTTGAAGGCTTCCACCGTTTGGATAAAAGTGTCCAGAAACACTCCCGCATCATAAGTGGTTCCATTCAGCTCATAGATAGGCATGAATGTTCCTGTAATATACCGGGTGGGATTTTTGCCACTAAACTCCTTCTCTATTGGGGAAAACGCTAGTTTACTCACCTCTCAGTTCCGTGTAAATCACATTATCCGCATACAGTTCTTCTAGAAGACGAAAAACGAACCTTCCGAAAAACCCCTTATAAGACACCAAGTCGTACAAAGTTGAGAAGGTGTTTTTAAAGGTTGCCCAAACCTCTTCCTTGCTTTGGTTCAGTGAGCGCACATCGAGAACCAGTTGGGTGTTCAAAAAATCGTCAAAGTTTCGCTGCTTTTCCTCGAATTCTCTCCTGAAATGCCATTAAATTAACGGCCAAAGGATTGAGTTGATGGAATGCTGCTTGCTCACCTGTAGGCCTTCAAGCTCTTCCAAGAACAGTTGCGGTCTTGACTGGCATCTTGCAACACGCGCAACTTGAAGATCTTCTGCTCGTTGAAGCATCCATAGACGTTGTCCTCGTAAGTGAAGTTCTTGATGATATAATCCGCGCTAACAGCGGCCAAAAGGTGAGTATGAAGAGAGGCGCCTTTGGGGATTTGGCGAATGAATTCGAAGACCTTGCATATGGAAAAACCCTCTCGAACCAACAGAGAATTTTGCAGATTTATGGCGCTCACCTTTGACTTGTCGATTTTTTCTTTCGCTGTTAGGAAACTTTCCCCAGCCGAAAACGCTGCAGGATCCAGCAGTTCGCTTCTCTTCAGCTTGAGCAGATACTGGTCGACTTCCGCTTCTCTGGCAGTCCAGTTCAAATCCGCGCCCATAAACTCTTGGCGTTCGTGCTTCAAAATGATTTTTCTCAAGTGCAAGTATTTGTCTTCACTTTGGCTCATGTTGACCCAATCGATCACTAATAAGTTCAAAACTATAACACGCCAAGATGGGGCCATCTTGGACTTTCTGATCTGGGTTTCTGTCGATTGGGAAAATTTTCATCAAAAAACACCATTTTATTTTTTTACAGTCAAATCTACAGGGTGTCCCCGCTTTTGAACGCGCTCGATTAATAAATTTACGGGGTTTGAACCATTAACATCGAGGTATGAAAAATTCAATCTCGAAAAAATCAATTTTTGCTCTCTCATAGCGTCATATCTCGGAAACCTTTCTGATAACCTTTCGAGTACTATTTTCAATTTTTATCAGGAAT